TTTATTTATAACTTTTAAAGGAGGTTATTATGTTCCTTATCCAAAATAATACTAAAATATTCCTTAATTTTATGTAAAATAGATACATTATATCACACCCTCTATTGAAAAAAAATCAGTAAATAATCTCTCCCTTAGGTTGACTAGATAGACTTAGTTAAGGCAGTCACTTGTCAGTAGTTCAATGGTGGTGCAACAATAAATGTCACGAATGAAGTATCTAGTTAACATACAAAATATATATATTTGAATCATAATTCTACTAGTCCAATGGAGTTAATAGATCAAATTTTGGATGATTATGTTGCCTAAAACGATTACATGAAGCTTTAGTGGTCCAAATTAAGTGTGAAGAATAATGACAATAGGCCACAATCTCGTATTAAAAAATTTTTCTTTCTAAGATCAGATCAATCCCCTATCACTAATTGTTCATAAGTTTGAGTTCTATAGAGGACACAATAATATCAAGAATGTTTAGAGGTTAGCTTTGGGATCATAAAAAAATGACGATTATAGATCACCATAGAAATGTTATTTTTTTTAAATAGCAATCCAATGCCACAAAAAGCTCAAAAATTTGAAGTTCCATAGAGGTTGTAGGAGCTCTAAGAATTTTAGAATTTGGTGAATGAATTGCACTTGTTTTGATGTGTATCTATACCTAACTCCATATAATGCTTGCTTGCAAAGAGAGATTTTTAGGGGACCAATCAAGTGGCCTTCTCAATCAGTCTGTGAGGCAACAATGATGACTCTTGCAACTCCTTCATTTGTGTTAGATGCAAGTACATTAGATGGAATAATAGAGCCAAAAGGCAAGCTATTGGTTTGTTCGAACAATTCCATCAATTCTAGCTCAAAATTTGATTGAATTTTAATAGTTTCAGTGTCATTGAATAATCTCAGCAAAACATTAAATTCAGCTGTAAATGTACAATATAGAGATCATTTGATCTTCATATCCATTTTTTAAAATTTTTTAGGCTTAATGTGCACTTGTTTTTTTAATTCTTTAATTTATGAAAAAGTTTGTGCAAAATCTTAAGGAGATTTTGAATAACATAAGCACTAATCCATTATCTACAAGTTATATAATCGAGATTACAAATTTCATCTTAGAGTAACATAATTAAAGTGCAACAAAAGAAAGTCAATGACATTATTAAAAGCAATTGATATAAATATCTTAGAATCCAACATACTAACATACACCAACCAATTCTACCACGAAACCTATCCATCAAAGAAAAAGTCAAGAGTCAAGACCACCTAAAAACTGACTTCCATCTGCCTTAAGCCAACTGTACAAATTTCTAATCATCAAAAGCCTAGCTGGTCAAACCTTATATTCACAGTAGCCATTATTTTTCATGTAAACCTTAAACAATTCAACGCCACCTAATTCATATGGCTTATTACTATCTCCTATATATATTATATAATCAAACCCTTAACATCGCCTCCAATCATTTAAGGCTTCGTTTGAGATAATTTTTTTTACAGCTTTATTTTTTATGTCGCAACCATAATTTCTTTTTATCACTATTTTTCACTGCTTTAAAAAAATTTCGTGCTTGAAAATAGCATTTTATAACAATTTAAAATAAAATTACTTTCTACATCAGCTTTATAAAGCGCTACGAAACCTCTCCTAAATAAAATCAAATGATCTGTTTGGGACAGTTACAGCTTTTTATAAAATTAATTGTAAAGATGCTATGAAGAAAGCAGCTTCATAGCATAAAAATTTACTAAAAATAATGAAAAAGTACTAGCCAAATAAAAATCGTGATTACAATTTGAAAAACAATACAGTAAAAAAGATGTCCCAAACAAAACCTAAGTTTAAAATTATTACGTAAAATAGTCATTAAGATTTCGTTTGGAAAAACTTTGTTACTGATTCTTAAAATTGTTATATTAAAAAGCTGCTTTAAAAAGCAGTAAGAAAGCTGTCTCAAACGAAACCTAAGAGACTAGTATAGCAATCGCTTTGTTTAAAAATTTTCCAGACCTTTCTCACAATAATATAATACAGTATAATATTTCATTAAAAGTCTTATCTATCATGATAATGATGGGTATTAGTTACCCTTAATCAATGTTATTGAACTAATCCCATTGGTGGTCCCTAATCTTATTAATTTGAGCCAATGATATGCAAGCAGCGTGACGCCAATGATAGAGGGAGCTGGAGTGGGGATTAGGCATCGAATTTTTTTATTTTATATGTTATATGACTGAGCAAGATTAGTTTTATTATGCACAATAATTGTAAAGATCCTGTGGTTGCAAACAATCAGGTTGTTTGTCACATATGTTTTGTATAAAGAGAGCATGTTAGAATTGACCATTTTGTAGTCTGCACGCAGTTAGTTTTAAATATGTTTTGCTTGATGAAACTGTGATCACTGCATAGAAGAATTATGTGGGGGCAAATTTGAAATAATTTTAAAATTTTAAGCCCAATGATTTATTATAGGAAACAAAGGAACTAATGAGACCAACGGCACATTAATGACATCATTTAATAAATACAATATATACAATATTGCAATATTAGGGGTGTCAATTTCGGGTCACGGGTCACGGGTCGGTCGAACCCGAACTGACCCGGGTGGAAAACGGGTCGACCCTAACCCGACCCGGGTAGAGAAACAAGTCGAAAATCCGAATCCGGACCCGACCCGGCGGGTTGTCGGGTTGACCCGACCCGACCCGGAACCGCGCGGCAGCTCGCTTTTTGTGTAGTGTCAAATATTGGCAGCCCTATGCAATATCATAGCTATTCTATTAAAAAATATAATAATTGACCGAGGCTCTCATCTCTAATTAGCAAATCCTTGAAACTACTGCATGACCATAGATCTCCGAAATCAAAGCTATGGTTGCACTAAGAGCAATAAATGATGATGGAGACACTTATAAAAAGATTATTGGAGAACCACATGAAAGTCATTTGAATCCTTGTTGACCTCATTTTCATATCGAGGTTGACTTGGCTCCAGTCATGTAGACTTAACACAATCCTTCGTCTATCTATCTCAATTTAATATATTCAATCCTTATAGGCCTCGTAGGATTGGCACAAGGGTGGAAATAGGATTTTGTTCATATGGGGGTAATAATTGTTGATTTAAAAAAAAAAAACCTAGTTTCAAGTGAAATTTTTTATTGATTGAGGGTAATAAATATGTTGTGCTATAGCACGCCCTACATTCATTAGGAGGTGATTTTTTTTAGAATATTTTTTTATTACTAAAAAAATATTACGGTAAAAAAAAAAAAAAAACTCATTAAAGTTCATGAGCTAATAATAATAATAATAATAATACATATATTTCATTGATTTGGCTTCTTGTATTCAACTTCCTATGATCCCTTCATTATATTAATTCGAGTAAAAAATAGATTTTATTTTGAAAAGATTATTGATCTTAGAGTCAAATTGATTCTCAATGAGGGCATTAATTAAAGCGAGCGTTAATTTGTTTTTAGGGCAGAGATCCCAAGTTCAAAGATTGACGATTAAAATTGTGTATAATTTTGTGCCAAAAAAATTTATAAATAGCATTTTGGTCACATTTGTTATTAATAAAATATTTGGTAAAAATCTATATCCATAAAAAGTCAAATTAGATTTAAGATAAGTCAGCTCAATTCAAGGATTAATTATTCTGTGCGGACGTCGAAGCCGTCCGGAGACCAACCAAAATGCGTCATGTCACACTGTGCTCGATACCGCGGCTCGGTACTGCTCGGTATGCGTCCGGCCTCCGCACAGAATAATTTTTTTTCAATTCAAAGCAATTCAGTCAAATTCAAGGTAAGACAACTCGAATTAAGATTTTGAAATCGGGTCGGATTTTTGTGTCGTGTCAAATACGAACACCCATAATGACGACTAATCAAATGGACAAATTTTTTTATATGAGAAACTATTGATTGATACTTTGGCAATTCATCTACTTATGCACATTGCGGCTTTAAAAACTCGTCAGATAACTTCTTCGAGTCAAACATTCTAATTTGGCTACATGTGTCTTAAAATTTATGTATAATCATTTTCTTTATTTTCTTTATAGTTATTTATATAATCAATTTTATAACACAAAGGTCCCAATCTAAATCTAGAATTAGGGAAGTCATTTATTGCTTGAACTTGCTAAACTTGAAGTCACCACCTTGAGCTAATCCTTGACCCTCATCATTGAGCTTTTTTAACTTACTTGATAGACTTAGGTTTCGTTTGGGACGTCTTTCTTATTGCTTCTTAAAGCAGTTTTTTAATACAATATTTTTTTTAATTTTCGTACTGGAAAGCTGCTTTAAGAAGCAATAAGAAAACCGTCCCAAATGAAACCTTATATATTCCTCATTCACACGTATTCGCCCAAAAGAAAAAGAACTTATCCAAAGCATTTATGAAATAATTTTACTGGTTCTAGTTAGGTTTCGTTTGGAACAGTTTTTTGTTGTTTCTTAAAACAATAAAACAACTTTTTAGTACAAAAATTAAAAGTTTTATACTAAAAAGCTGCTTTAAGAAACAACCTGAAAATCATCCCAAAAAAAGCCTTAATCAAATGAATTTGCTCAAATCTTTAATATATCAATTAATTAGAATTTTTTTTTACAAAACTCAATTTCTCTCTTAATTTTTATTATTTTAACTCGATCATGCCTCTAATAAAATTTTGACTTATTTACTAATAACTTTGAATCAGGCAGCATCACTTTTACGAAGACGCCGTCCATTATCGTGACCCACAAAACGCGCATTACCGTAAAATTTAATAGGGCGAAAGTCGTAATTTGAGGAAATAACGTTTCCTCCACGGGTTCCGTTTACGAGGCGTTTGGTCGAACCACCCGTAACTACCGCTTTTCCCCTCTTAATTACTTACTCAAATACACTAATTACTGCACTTAACCGGATTTTATTAATACGACACTTTCCATACATAATTATATATCACTGAGAAACTTTTACTCTTTTTCCCGTTTTCCAAGTATTCCATCTCCTTGACACGGTTTTCGGTTCCGTTCCTTCCCTTCCCTTGCCTTGCCTTGCCTTCCCTCGTTTTCTTCCTTTCGTTTCTCTCTTCTCCTCTCCTCAACATCCCTTTACCGATCGCCGTCGTTGAGTGGCGGCGGTCATAGCCTCGGCCCAGGGATTTCCTTGCTTTGTTTCAAAGAAAGACCGCGAATTTGGTCACCGTAGCGCCGGTGACTTGCCTTGGGGGATAAGGCTCGGATCTCATCGTGATTTGGGCGTGAGAGAGTAATGTGGGATTGATTCCTGGTGCGGACACCGGTTTCGCGGTCCCTTGCTTAGGGGGTTGCGTTCTAGGGCTCTTTTGGCTGGTGCGGCGTCGGTTTTTTGTAGCCTTTCTAGTTTCGGTACTTGATTCGGTGGATTGCGGAGGAGGATTGTTTGGCCGGATCGGCATGAAATGGTAAGCGGTGCAGATCTTGCAGTTCTTTCGCGACCTTTTTCCTTTTTTCAGGAGCCATGCTTTATTCTTTTTCTCTATTTCAGGTTTTTGGTAAGTTCGTTAAATTTGCAATTTTGTCTCCATTATTGATAAGTCTCGGGGATATTAGGCAGATTTATGACGGAGACGGTTTTTCTATTTGGCCATTCTATTTTTAGCGTTTTCAAGATAGTTTATCTTTTGTTGCTTCCTTTGTTGTGCTGCTTGAAAGAAGGGGAAGTAAAGCTTTTGGTTTTTTCTCTGATGAATGATAGCATTTCACCTCTTTGGTTTTTTGTCTATTTTTCATATTTAAGATTTTGCAAATTTCTACAATATGATTTTTCTAGTAGAAATTTAGAACATATGAGTTTCCGTGCCATTTTCTTTAGGATTGGGGCTCTCATTGTGGGTGAGGATTTGTTAATTTATTATATTATTTTTTATAGTGGATGTATGCTGATCGTTGGCAGAATAGAAATGTCCTTAGTTTTATACTTAACAAAGGAATTCAGAAAGATCTGTTGTTTTAATGAAAATTCAGGGTATGTTATGCATTGTTTGCTACCTGTTTAAGGATCTTGTAGAATAGTTTTTTCTATAGCTTGATCTACAGATTGATTTAGCTGTCTGATTGGTGTTTGGCGTGATCATGTTTCCAGTCGCTTCTAGCATCATATAGATGCTTTTGTGAGTCATTTTTCCAAGAGATTAATGTGCCACTGACTTTATGATTTTTTCTATTCTCTGTAGGATAGTTAGCTCCTTGCTTGACTTAGGCTTCGTTTGGGACGGCTTTTTTTAATGCTTCTTAAAGCAGCTTTCAAGTACAAAAATAAACTAAAAAGTTGTTTTAAGAAGCAGAATGAAAGCCGTCCCAAACAAAGCCTTATTATGTCGAAACTTGCAATGTTATTTTTTTCTGGTTTTGCCAAATGCTGACTTTCTTCTTGAAATGTTTGCTCTGTTGAATTGTAAGGTTCCTTGCTTACTGTTGTTTTTTTTCCCTTTCCAGGGATTCTAGGTTTCTATGAATTAGAAAATTAGAACTTGATTAAACCACAACCACATTGGGTCTGTGTGGAACAACTTTGTAATAACTTTGATTTTTAAACTTCAATCACATTGTTGTTTTGCTAATTGCTTTTCTTCTGTGTTTTAGAATGTTTTGCTAGTTAGAACAACTTTTTTGAACAAGCTTATCAACTTACACCATAGCTACATCGTTGCTGTATATGATTTCTCATATAACTTTTCTCATAATAGTTTCACAATCAATTTTATAGACAATTACAATTGTTCCAAACAAACTTTAAGTGTGTTTCTTTGTTTTCAGATCTTGATTGATTGATCCACGGAAAGTCAAAGCTTGTCTATACAGTTTTTTATTTGTGAAAGAATAAATTTCTTCCTTATTTTTGCTTTAGGGGCACTTTCTCATACCCTCTCCAGGTGATATGGAATATTATAACATAGATTTTTGTTCACCTAAATTTTAAAATTTCTATCTTATTGTGAATAGTGACAAATTTTTTATTGTCAGATTATTTAAAACTAAATAACGTAGCATTCCATCTGATCATGCCTTTTCTATTGAATGCCTCTACCTGAGCATAGTGATCCTTAAAGGCTGTTATCACTGACTCGTGAAGTATGCTTGAAATTGTAAAATTTAGTTTGCATTTATTCTAAATTTGAGTTCATTTCATTAGTTATTAAAAATAATTTTTGAAGAAAAAGTTTAACACCTGAAACAGCATAATAAAAACAAATTAAAAGCGATGATTCATAACCTCCAAACACATTCAGGTCTTTATGTTATTTCTGATATGCAGTGCATTATGAATTTACTTGTTGCTATTTATTTTGCATATTTTCTTCACAGGTGGAAGGTAGGTCATTTTTATACGGAGAAAATAAAAGTGGTTTAGAACTTTTGAAGCGCAAGAGGCTTGAACGGATGAAGTTGAGTGTTTTTTCTCAAACAACTAATGTCGCAAATACAATGTCTAGAAGTGGTGGAGATGCTACCAAAGCTTCTGCATCATGTATAGATAGAACATATGGAAATGCAAATGCTTTCTTACATGGCAATGGTTCCTCAAAAGATGCCTTTTCAAAGCACATATTAGAAAACTTTGATATGTCTAACATGGAGTGGATAGATAAGATTCCAGAATGCCCTGTTTTCTTCCCAACAAAGGATGAATTTGATGATCCATTAATTTATCTCCAGAAGATTGCACCTGCAGCTTCAAAATATGGTATTTTTCCTATGATTTGTTGTTTTTTAGTATGTATCTGTAAGTAAAAAAATGCTCACTCTGAAGTAAATGTATGCTCCGTGTGGATGCTATCCTTTGCTTTAATTAAAGGCTTTGTTTGAGACAGTTTTTTTTTTTTATTTTTTAAAATAGTTTTTTAGTATATTTTTTGTGAATTGAAAATTTTTGTACTAAAAAACTGCTTTATGAAGTAGTAAGAAGCTGTCTCAAACGGAGCCAAAGTTGTCATCTTTATATTAAATGATTCAGATTAGAGGATGGAAATTAAAAATGTATATTATCCTAGAACTTTTTGGCAACTGTTTGGCCATGAGTTCCTTCAAGTAGAAAAGCTCCCGCTCCGATCATGAGCATCATAGAACTTTTTTCCCTATAACTTTATGTTTTATGAAATTGCAAGCAGTCAAGTGTGCATTTTTTTAGGAGACGTGCTACGCATACATAATTCAACATTTTTGCATTTATTCCACAAATTTTAGTTAGTACTGTGTATCAAATTTCCACTCATCCTCTTCACTAATGATAAATGTATATTCTTGTAACTATCCTTGTTATGGCTCCTTTTCGGTGTGTATTTCTCTGTCCAATTGCTGTTGATATATGAATAGTTCCATGTTCTTTCTTATACTATCATTTGTTTTTCATACAGAGAAGAAGTGTATTAGTAGATCTGACATATTGGAAAGTTCATGTTATATGATTGGTACTCTTTGATCCTTTTATTCCTTCCTTTTGACTGATTTTAGAATCTTGCCTACCTATCAGGCATATGCAAGATAGTCTCTCCTATTTGTGCTTCTGTACCTGCTGGTGTGGTATTGATGAAGGAGCAAAATGGATTCAAGTTTACTACTCGTGTGCAGCCTTTTCGTCTATCTGAGTGGAGTGCTGATGATAAAGTTACCTTCTTTATGAGTGGAAGGTGATTGTATGTTGATAATGTATGGCCTTCTCTTGGGTTCCCTATGTTCTGCACTCTGATGGCACCATTTTTTTTCCCTTAATCCAGGAAGTATACATTTCGTGATTTTGAGAAGATGGCAAACAAAGAGTTTGCTCGAAGATATTCCAGTGCTGGATGTCTCCCTGCTAAGTATGTTGAAGAACAGTTCTGGCAGGAAATTGCTTTTGGCAAGACTGAGTTGGTTGAATATGCCTGTGACATTGATGGCAGCGCCTTCTCATCTTCTCCTAATGATCAACTGGGTAAAAGTAAATGGAACTTAAAGGTGCGGATCTATTTTAGGTTTTTCCTCTTCTGCTCAACAGTCGCATGATATAAATTGTATTCTTCATTTTCTTTTTCAGTTTGTCTTCTTTTTTTCTTATATAGTTTTGTTGATTATGATTACAGAGCCAATATATTTATCTTCTTTATTTTCTGCAACCAATTTCACTTCACCTTGTTTTGTTTTTTGAATTTGTATTTATTTACAGAGGCTTTCCCGCCTACCCAAGTCTGTGTTGCGGCATTTGCAGTCCTCTATTCCTGTATGTAAAATTTTTACTACTTTTCTGGTATTTTTTTGCCCTTTACTATTATAATAGTAATCTAGTTTTATTTTGTTACTTTCTTTCAGGGAGTAACAGATCCCATGCTTTACATTGGGATGCTTTTTAGTATGTTCGCTTGGCATGTTGAAGATCACTTCTTATATAGGTTAGCTGAGAAATATTCTTGATCTAGAATTTTTACTTTTTTTTTATCAGTTCTTGCTTGGTGGAATGGTTTTAAGGTTTGGATAAAATCTTGCAGCATCAACTATCATCATTGTGGAGCAGCTAAAACTTGGTATGGAATCCCTGGTCATGCAGCACTTGAATTTGAAAAGGTGGCTCAGGAATATGTTTATAAACGTGAAATTTTTTCAACCGAAGGAGATGATGCAGCATTTGATGTGCTTTTGGGAAAAACTACCATGTTCCCTCCAAATATTTTGTTAGACCATCATGTTCCTGTTTATAAAGCTGTTCAAAATCCCGGCGAGTTTATAATTACATTTCCTCGAGCTTATCATGCAGGATTCAGTCATGGTAAAGACCTTTGCCTCATTTCAGCAGTGAAGAGAAAGTTCTTTTTTTTTTACTTGGAATGATTAATGCTTGAATGCGTAACACATGAAGTATTATTATTTTTTGTGTCCTATAGGTTTTAATTGTGGTGAAGCTGTCAATTTCGCTATTGGTGATTGGTTTTCTTTGGGTATTGTTGCTAGCCAACGGTATGCACTTCTTAATAGGATGCCTTTATTATCCTATGAGGAACTACTATGCAAGGAAGCCATGCTCCTTTTTAAGAGCTTAACAGAGTTGTATGCCAAAAAACCCGTCTCTGGTAATAATGAACTGCTTTCCCAGCATCATTTGAAGGTTTCATTTGTGAACTTGATGAGATTCCAACATTATGCACGTTGGCGGCTCATGAAGTTGGGAGCTCGGGCTTCTTATTATTCAAATTTTCCAGAAATGATACTTTGCAGCATCTGCAAACGTGATTGCTATGTAGTTTACGTTACGTGCAATTGCAACACTGGTCCAATCTGTCTTCATCATGGTATTAACAGTTTTTTTTTTGTATTTAAGGTTTTGTTTGGGACGGCTTTCTTATAGCTTCTTAAAACAGCTTTCTAGTACAAAAAATAAACTTTTTATACTAAAAAGCAACTTTAAGAAACCATAAGAAAGCCGTCCCAAACGAAGCCTAAATGTGGGTTGTTATCTTGTTTTTTTTTTCTTAGTATTTATGTTTCTGATTCTGCATTGCAGAAAGTTGCATAAAAAACTGTAATTGTGGCTCCAGTCGTACCGTGGTTTCAAGGGCAGATCTTTTAGAAATGGAGGCTGTAGCAAAGAAGTTTGAGCAAGATGGGATAACAGAGGAGGTGGGAAAGCAATTAGAGGAAAGTTATCGCTTTTCTTTACATCCAAATGCTTTGCTTTGCTCGGATGAGGCTGGTTATTTTCCATATTGTCAAATAAGATTTGAGGAAGGTATCGAACATGAAGCTGCACAAGAATGTCAACCTCATTCAAGATCAACTTTTTCTTCAACAAAAGAGTGTCTTGCGCTGAGTCCTGTAAATATCTAATTATTGCTTTGTTTTTCCCCAAACAATGTAAAGGATGTGCTGTAAAGAAAAAAAAAAACTTTCTTAAAATTTTCGTGTACAAATAATTCAATGGTTTTAATGTTACAGGATTGTGCAACTTCCGATAGAATGAAAGTTTTTCACAAAAGTTCCCAGAGTGTGTCAACTTGTGTCTATAATTCTGCTGAATCAACTGCATCTGAAATTTCTATAGAGGGATGTGAAGGTAGCTCTGGAAATTCAGTTGTTCATGATGTTGATGATTCAGACTCTGAAATATTCAGGGTAAAGCGGAGGTGTGCTATGATTGCAGTGGAAAGAAGTAGAGCAGACTCGAGGTTTTCTAAAATACAGGTAATTATATGAATCCTTCATTTTATTTTTTTTTATTTTGTTTCCTATACAAATTCAATTAAGTCGCCTGTTCATTGCAGATTGCTTTAGACCAGATTGATATGAGTGTCTTTCTTGTATAAAAGTTATAAATGTACCCTTTTATATGATTATGACTTTAAATTAAGAGCTTGCTTACATTATTTTATTACAAAACCACTCAAATTGCATCATATTGGCAACCACCAGGATTAGAAAGATTGATTGATAATGGTTGAGGAAAGGGCTGTAGCGAGATGTTCTTTAACTGCTGTTTCCTTAGATCATACCAATATGATTATATTTCATTTACTTGATTCAATTATTGAATGCATTCTGATATATAAGCGACACTTTAAATTAAGAGTTTTTTTACATTATTTGAGTACAAAAACGAGCAAACAAACAAATTTCAGCAGATGGGCAGCACTCAGCAATATAAAGTTTGTGGAAAAAAAGGTTCGGGAAAATTCTGCGATGAGATGATTCTATTGAAGATCCAATATGGCTTGCAAGAAATATGTATTTAAGCCTTCCTGCGCTCTTCTTTTCTTTGAAAAATCTGTGAGTTGTTTTATGGATGGATTTTGGTCGGGGCAGTTGAGTGTAGTTAAAGTTTCTTGAAATAACCATGGGCTCATGGCTTATTTGATTGCTGTATGATCTTGATTACATTATTTGATCCAAAAAAAAAAACAACAAATTGCAGCAGATGGGCTACACCTAACACCAAAAAGTGTGGTAAAATGGTTGAAGAAAAGTATGGACTGAGATAGTTTGGTTAAAGATCTGTTATACTTTTCTGCTTTTTTCTTTTCCATGAAGAATCCTTGAATAGTTTTATGGACGGATTTTGACTAGGCTAGTCAAGCGTGTGGTAATAGTTATGCGAAATCATTATGGGCTCATGGCTTAGTGCTTTCTTGTAAGAACTTGATTAATTATTTTATGGAAAAAAAACACCTAGATGGGTACCACCGACACCAGAAAGTTCATGGGAATAAGTTTGAGGATCTGAGGGAAAGTATGTTATGATGGCTGTCTAGAAAGATGTATTTAAGCATTCTTACTTTTTTCATTTCTTTAACTAACTTGAGCACCATAAATGAAAGTAGAGATTTTTATTTTTATCATCGTATTAATAAAGCCAAAGTTTGAGATGCTCTAAAGTGAATGAAGTGTGAAAATCAATGTGGCATAATGATATTCCAATAGAGGTGTGAAAATGCTTAGGAGATAAAGGAATTTTTTGGCTTATTAAAATTTTTATTACTATTTTGAAGGCTAAAAAGATGCCATATGAGTGGAGAAAGAGTGTGTTTGTTTATATTTCTAAGAGTAAAGGTGATGCACAAGAGTCAAATTATAGAGGAATTAAGTTAATATGTCAAACATTAAAATTATGGGAGAGTGATTGAGCATACATTATGACATGATACTAATGTTTCTCAAATTCAATTTGGATTCATGCCTGGTAAGTCTAATATGAAAGCTATACATTTGTTAGGAGGTTTGATGAAGAAGTATAGAGAGAGTAAGGAGGATCTTCATATGATATTTTTTGATTTAGGAAAAGCATATAATAAAGTTCCAAGAGAAGTGCTCTGAAAAGTTTTAGAAAAGAAATGAGTTAATAATGCTTATATTCAAGTTATTAAGGATATGTATATGAAAGGTGTTACTTATCTTCAAACCCAAGGTGATTTGACCAAGTATTTTTCTATTTCTACTATGGATTACATAAAGAATCAGTTTTAAGACCATGTCTTTTTTTGCTTTATTCATGTATGTTCTTACTAGACATTTGCAAGAGGATGTACCCTGGTGTATACTTTTTGCTGATGATATTCTTCTTGTTGATAAAACTAGTGAGTGTGTTGAAAAAAAAAAACTTGAATTATAGATTTAACCTTAGAATGTAAAGATTTTCATTTGAGTAGATATAAAACCGAATACGTGGAATGTAATTTTAATTGAAATAAATCTAGTTGTGGGATTATGACATTGGGTGATCAAATCATTAAAAAGAGTGCACATTTTAGATATCTCGGGTATATTGTTCAAAATGATGGTGAAATATATGGGGATATTGTTAGTAGAATTCAAGTTAAATGTTTGAAGTGGAGGAATGCTTCAGGCGTGTTGTGTGATAAAAAAATAGCACTCAAACTTATGAAAAATTTTATTAAGATGGTGGTGAGACTTGCAATACTTTATGGCTCAAAATGTTGGACATTAAAAGGCAAGAAAAAAATTAAGTGTTGTAGAGATGAGGATGCTCAGGTGGATGTGTTTTACACTTGGAGACATAATGCAAAATGAGTACATACATGAAAAGGTTGGAGTAGCTCTAATGGTAGATAAGATTAGAAAGTCACTTTCTGATGATTCGGTTGGGAAAGTAGATGCATTAGATTCGGCCTATGTTAAAAAATATAGAGGTGGATCTAAAAGGACTGGTTAGAAAGTATTATAAATGAAATTTTTTATTAGATTTAATTGAGAATTTGATTCTTTATAGGACTCTTTATAGGACATAATAGAGGAAAATGATTCATCCAACCCACCATAGTGGGATGAAGGTTTGATGTTGTTGTTGTTATTGTTTTTTTCATTTCCTTAAGGAATCCGTGAGTAGTTTTATGGGTGGATTTTGATTGGGGTGGTAAGTGTCGAAAAGTTGTCACATTATCTATCGACTCGTGCCTTATTTGCTTGCATGTAAGAGGAATTCGAAAGCTGGAAATAAAGGAATTGTTCCAGAACTTTAATGCCTAACACACACTCATAGATAGTACATCATGCACCCACATATTAAAGCTTGTATAATAACTTGTACTATTATATATATAGATACATATAAAACTTTCATAAAAAAGTTTATATGCATAATGCATTACAATAAATGAGGTAATACAATATGTTATAAACCATTTATTGATGCAACCTAAGTTCTTAAACCAAGTAGGAGAACACTGGGAATGTAAATTAAGATACTTCCTCTCTATATCACATAAAAAAACGCCAAAATGACGGATATTTAGTATACAACTAATATGAGAAATTTGTTAGGAAGTCGCATAAAATAGAACAAATAACAAAAAAATAAACTATAAATCCTCAAAATAACCACGAATGGTCACCTCATATGCAAACACCAACTAGGAAAGATGTTCAAAGGAAATGACAAACGAGCGATCTGCCATAGGAATTAGGTTCCAACAAAAGACATTGCTCCTTCGACAAATACCAATAGAACTGGACACAACACCACTTACAACTCACAATAGTTTAGATAAGAAAGATACGAGTGGAAGGGAAACCGTGAAGTGAAGAAGTAGAAAGAATATCGAGAGGAAGAATTAGCGGTTAGGGAGAAGTCAGCTTGCACGCTAGGAAGAAACCCTTAGGTTTTTAAAATGATCACTCTCCAAAAACTTCTGCACAAAGAAATTCAGCCACTATATATAGGAGAAAGAAGGGGAAAAATATTTATTAACCCACATAAATGTACCTCCAAATCAGCCAATAAGAACCACCCAACTCAGCTCATTCAATGAGGAATTAAAGTTTCCAGCATAGGAGTTAGCAAAAGGGAAAACCGAGCATCCAACGACAGGGAAATCGAGCGACCATGGCGAAAATCAAGTAGCCAATTGGGAAAATCAAGCAGACAACATGGAAACTGAATAGACAACAGGGAATTCGAGCAGCTAGCATAAAAAAATGAGCATCCACTGGAGAGAAGGATCAAGAAAACACAAGTGGAAGGACAATGGTGTGAACCGGCATGAGAGCACCAAGCCCGGCATGATCATGGGTTGTTTTCAATCATAGGGCCATACAAAATAGAATTACATAGCGCCCAAAACACAAAAAAAAAAAATATAAAATGCTAAAGCTTCACTGCATCAATTATGAAATTATCATATGTAGGCATTTCTATTTGTTTGTTTGTACATATAGACTAGCATGAATGTATTTACAAAATTTATTCAATATTCTATATGTTTGTTATTTGTAATTTGTGTGTGTATATATATGTAAAATGATCACATCGCTGAGCTTAAGTATTGATCTAGATTCACTACTTTTTTATAAGAATTTAATCACCGATAGCATGTGATCTGATGACATGTAGAAATCCTTTTAATAACCCAATTTTATGCATCTATTTTATCGATCAATACATCTAGATCCTTAACCATCATAAACAACTTGTAGAATTAAGATTTAATTATAAACCATTTGTAAATCTCTATACTTTAAAATCACAATTAACTTCTAATGCAACTTGAGCCAGCCATTAGGAAAATTTTTGTCCATTCAATTAATAATTAAATGATCATAAAATTGTTTAAGAGTATTCCACTAACTTCATTGAATTTGAAGGTCATAGCATAGAGACACACATATAGAATCTTTTCTTCTCTAAAAAAAACTGTCTTAAAAAATGAATATTAACCTATCCAAAATATTTTATATATTTTAAGAATACTATTTGGCATTTACAGATCAATTTTACATAGGAGCTAGTAATTGTTTTGTTTAAAGAAATCCATATATAAGACTGGAACTTTTGACCTCAACCCTGGGAACCAAAGAACATGCCAATTAAGCTAAAGCTCATTGGTTTATCAAGAGAAGTTTTTAATTTGATTCGATAATTGAAGACTGCTCAGTTATAGAATTAGTTTTTGGCGTAGATTAAGCTAGAATCAAAATGAATAAGCTAATTATTGGCCAATTATCTATCAAATTTAGCTAGTTTGAGATCAAATATGAATGTATATGACAATTCATGTGATTGAATGCGTGCATACATTCATATATGTTTTTTTTAGTTTGTATTCACATATTTATGCATATATCAATTTGTTTATGTTTCCAATAGATTTATGGATGTATTTTAGAGTAAAGATTTGTTTAGGAGATGATATTCAAATCAATTTTTTTCTAAGATCAAGCTTGAATCAATATTG